CATGCGGCCCCTGTTCCTGCCACAGCGGGTAGCGCAGGGGAGAGACCGTCTGCACCTTCCAAACCGGGTCACTGCATCTTCCAGGTGGTCCCACCTCAGCGCGCAGACCTGCACCAGGGCCCCTGATGGCTCCCCCCTCCTCTGGCAGGCGGTCAGGAAACGTCTGTGTGTGAGCACGTCTCCACGGCGGGGTTGCCGGTCAGACCGTGCAGTTTTAAACGTGCACAAAGGCTCACAGCTACGTGTGGGGCCTGCGCCAGCCCACCTCCTGCAGCGGGTGGAGGCTGCGGGTCAGGCCCACGTCTCCCCACCGTACATGCCTCCCCCAGCAGCACATACATGCTTTGCAGCAGGGTTGAAGTAGCCCCTGCTGCCGCCTCCCACCCCCTGCCCCACGTGTAAAGCTGGGGATCACACACCTTCCAGCTCCCAGCCCCGGCACCGGCCTCAGGGACCTGGCCGTGGGCTCCCTGCCTCCCATGGCGTGGCTGCCCAGGGCGGGCGCAGCAGGGACCTGATCCTCCAGGCCCCAGTTGTGTTGGGGCTGGGCCTTTGCTCTCAGGCCCACCCCGTCCCCCTGCTGGGGTCTGCACCCCAGAGGCTGACCTCTGCTGGCCCGGGTCTGGTCAGCTGGGGCTCTGGCAGGAGACTGGGGGGAGGGCATGGGGCCTGGTGCCCCCTTCCCTCACTGTGCTGCAGACAGCTTTCCCGGCAGTGGCCGCGTCTCCTCTGGCCCCTGGTCCAGCTTTTCCCAGTGACCATGGGCCACGGGCTAGGCCCTCCTGCCAGGGGAGGGGCTCCTGTCCTGATCCCCGCCTGGCTTGCTCCTTCAGCTCCGTGGCACCTCCCCTCCCCTGCGTTAACACTTCTCTGCATGAAATTTCCCACTCTTTGCAGTGCTGTCTGTACAGAACCAGCTGAGAGCCCGGGGGTGGGTGCCCTGGGGAACAGGCGGTGACCAGTCCAGTGCTCCGCCCCCAGCTCACCCCTTTAATGAGGTCGCTGGTCTGACCTTGGCAAGTCACGGGTCGTCTTAAAGACACCGGAGCCACGTCTCTGTGCAGGGCGTGGGGATGTGGGTGGGAGAGCCCACCCGATGCAGGCCCATGGGCGTCGGTTCTGACCCCAGCAGTGCCCCTCCGCCGGCCAGGGAGCTCGTTTCTGCCTGTCCTCGGGGCTGTGGACTCGATCCCATCCCTGGAACGGGACACGCGCCTACAGCCCGGACTCCGTGCAGGGGGATGCTGGCTGTGTGTTCCCGCAGAGCTACGCCTGGTGGAGCCCAGGGACCGTCCCCGAACCCTGGAGGCCCACGGAGCGACGTGCTCCTGCTGTCCATGGGCTGAACGAAGGTGTATGGCTCAGCCGGGGTCAGAGAGCTGGTTCGGGGGTGCTGGCTCATGAGAGCCTGGATTCTGGCAGCCGGGAGACCGGACGTCGGGGAAGAGCCACGTGGGTCAGGAGCAGCGAAGGGCTGAGTGTGTGCGCAGCCGGGGGCGCCCCGCTTGTCCTGCACTCTGCTCAGCCTTAGGCTCCCTTGACAACTGGCCTCCCAGCCAGTCCGGCTGACGAGAGACGGGCATTGGCGTGATGCCGCTCTGCTGTCCGCCAGGCGCTCCTGCCCTCGGCTGGGTCCCCTCTGTGTCCCCTGCTCCAGCGGCAGTCTCCCGGCCCCGCTCTGCTCCCGTCCCCTCCTCCCCGGACCTTCCTGCCCCACAGGGGTGGAGGCTGTGTCCGTTCCTCGGGGTGCCTCATGGCTTTGGTTTCCAGGGACTCCCACACCTAGTGACCCGAGTCCCACGTCGAAGCCCATCCACTGAGTCACTGGGAGGGTCCTGCTTTCCTGTCTGGACCCCCTGACAGGGTGACCAGGTGGTGAGGCAGAGATGCAGGGCCGAGGGAAGGAGTGTGGCTCTCATCTGGGGCGGGGGCCATGGAGGCAGTGAGCTGGGGTGATGACCTGGCCATGGAGACCGGGCTGAGGGTGGCCCTGATGTGCTGGGGGGCAGGGAGGGGCCGGGGGGGCCGCAGGTGGGCGCTCTGGGAATTGAGGAGAAGGAGAGGGTACGAGGTCTGGGCTAGCAGAGGAACCAACAGCACTCTGGGGTGCATGGGCTCTGAGGATGGAGGAGGGACCCAGAGGACCCTCATATCGGAGGCCTGTGAGAGCTGCCACCCACATCCCTGTCCTCTGCACTGTGGTCCCTGTTTGTTTCCGTCTCGGCCCGTCCAAGCAGGAGCGGGCGACCTTGTTTACTCACCTGTGCATTCTCTTGCTTCCCCCCTGCAGTGTGAGCCTTGTGCTTGGTACACAGTGGTGCTCAGTGCATGCTTGTTGCAGATGGGAGCACGGGCCGGGGCCCAGTGCTGCTCCTACTGGCTGTGCGGTCTCCCCTTCTGCAGATGAGAACGGTGGGTGCCCGCCCACAGGGCTGCGCTAGGACTCACTGCCTGCATGTAGCAGCCGCCCAGTAAGGGCCGTGACGTTCTTCTGTCTCAACTATCCGGTCTTCCGGTCGGTTGGTGGTGGGCCTGGGTAGCTGTGGGTCCCAGGCTCGGGCTGGACTCCCGTTTATCAGAAGCTCCAGGCGGAGCGGGCGAGCAGAATGGAGGCGGGGGTGTCGTGCGCGGCTGGCAGGCTGCAGGGGTCACGCGGGGAAGCTTCTGCCCGGCGCCAGGAGCCTGCCCACCTTCGCCCCTGGGGCCTCCCCCACGTCTGTGAGCGGCAGAGGCAACGTCCTGCTGTCTCTACAAGACAGGCGTGCACGTGCATGTGGATTAGGTACGTCTTCCGTGGAGGACAGTGAGGGAGCTGGGGGAGGAGGCGAGAGCTCCCCCCGCCCCCGGCATTCAGCACACACTGCTGGTGCGAGGGTTCCCAGAGCCGTGGTCGTGAAGCAGTAAGAGTTCCGTCAGAGTGAGCTCTCCATCTCCCGGGAGAAAGATCTAGATGGCGACGGGTGCTGTGGAGATTCACAGACCGGGGAGAGGGCATCCCAGAGGCCAAGGGGTGAAGGTGTCATGGAGCCAGGCACATGCTCGTATTTCCATGGCTATTAAATTCATTTCCACTTGGTGGGGGCTGCCAAGGTGGACCTCAGTTACTGTGAAGAGCTGAGGGTCCGTGATGTGCATAAACCCTTGAATCTGATGCCTCCCTCCTTCTCCAGGCAGAGGCCATTGTGATGGTGATGAGACTTTCCAATTATCTATGATAGCAAAGAAAGAGGACATTCTTGGTTTAATATTAGTGTTTCGTGTGTGGTTTTATTCCCCAAAACATCTCTTTAAGAGCACTTCACCGTCTCTGGAGGCGGGCGCCGCGTCTCCTCTCCTCTCCCAGAGGATGCGAGAAGTGCCGAGGTAAACATCGCTGGATGTGTGGGTTTTACCTGCAGGATTTCTCACAAGACTTGCACTGCTCGTGTTCCCCTGAAGTCGTTAGAGGGACAGAGAATGCGGCTCTCCCTCACTGTTTCTAACACCGGAGACACCAGTCCAGGGAGCCCTGCTCACACCACGTTGCGGGAGCCAGAGTCTCAGGCCACACGGCGTGGGCGGCGTGAGGAGGTGGCGCCAGGACCACATTCGTGTCCGCCTTCCCGGGCTGTCTGATGAATCCGAGTGCCGCTGGCCAGCCCATCTGCACAGGGAGAAGCTGGGGGCCCAGATCCTGGGATGTGGCCGAGAATGTTGCTGTAGGAACACAGGGCCCCCTTGCATTCCTCCTGTTTAGGGAAGTCGTGGGCAAACAGGAGGTGACGAATGGGGGCTCGCCCCTCCTGCATCTAGGGCTGCAGGCTCCAGGCTGCTCCTTCCCCTCCTCCATTCGGTCAAGGCTCTGAAGTGTTTTGTAGCCCCTGGGGAGTGAGTTGACCAGCGGTGACTCACAGATCTGGAAGAAGTAAAGCCCATTAAGTTGTCCATCCTCAGGCGCAGTCCCGCTGGCTCCCAAATTGCCCTGCGCGATCCACTTACCATCCCCAGTCTGTGGAGTTGGAGCCTCCGGACACTTTCAAACATCCTGAGCTGCCTCCTTTTGTTCCTGATTACATCCTGATGAGCGGGTCAGGGGGCGGCCTAGCCAAGGCGAAGGCCCCAGGGTGTCGAGGCCGAGGTTGGAGGGACCTTGATGTCTGGTGTCTGGGGCGGGATGCGGACATCGGCGATGGGCAGGGGCTCTGAGGCACACACCGCCGGAAGCCTCAGCAGGAAGCACAGCAGCGACCTCTGCAGGGCCGGGCGTGGGGAAGCGGGTCTCCTAGGCACGTGGCTCACAGAGCACGGAGTGTCAAGGAGCCCAGGGTCAAGTGAGTGTGATCTGAGGCTCCAGCTCCTGGAGCTGAACGAGCCACCACTTGGGGTGGTGTTGCTAGGTGAGCTGTGGTTTGTGTCACCGTCCTTCGTGGCTTTGCATCTGATTCGTTTACCAGGTTCCTTTCTGAGCTAGTGGATGTCAGGGATGAGAGCCGACTCTACACGAGCTCTCAGATGGCTCGGCTCGTGTCCCTGGCTCGGCTCTACACACTTGAGACCTGTACATCCAGGGGATCCTCAGGGAGGAGTCGGCCCCTCTCCCAGGTCTTCAACTGCCCTCCTATGGCTCCTGGGTCCGGGTCTAAATCCACCTCGGATGCTGCAGGCTAGACTAGGAGGCACGGCTGGGCGGCAGGAGTGGGGACGGGTTGGGAGGGCAGGAGTTGGGCATCAGCAGGATGGAAGCCGGAGGGGCGGAGGAATCTGAGCGTGGCCCTTCGGGTGGAGCATTCCAGCGTAAATCCAAGGGCTGACCCAAGGGACCGGACCTCGTCGGTGGTGGTAACAGGGCATCTGGGGGGAGAGGCAGGACCTGCTGATCCCCACCACGTGCACGCCGGGACAGCGGCTCCCTGGGAGTCAGCTGCGCGCCAGCCCTAGGACCCTCTCCAGTGGGAGCCCAGTCACCTCCAGCCTCCAGGATCTGGACCAGTGCAGACGCGTCTGCTCTGCTTCCCACACAGCTCACACGTGAACACCAGATGGCGCTCTCGTCCATCACGTACATCGGCTGCTCTGTGTCCCTGGTCTGCCTGGTGCTCACGCTGGTCACCTTCGCCATGCTGTCGTGAGTCATCCTCTGCCCTCTCCCGTGTCTGTGTCCAGGGAGGTCTGGTGCTCTCCGGGAAATGTCAGTGCAAGCCTGCCCCACTTGGGTTTCCCGCCCAGTATGTGTCCTTGGGGGGTGGCAAAGGCCTGGCCTCCTTGAGAACCTGCACGTGGTGCATTCCAGCTGGACAGCTGCTCCAAAGTCACCTTTCATCTTGAGATCTGGGGTGCAGGGAGGGGTTGGGGTGCTAGAGAAGAGAGAGGAGGGAGGGAGGAGGGCACCCTGCTTTAGTCAAGCTGGAAAATTCTGGAAGGATCACCAACCCACAGGTTTTCTGGCCCTTGGGCGGGCGAGAGCCAGAACGGAGGACCCCCTACCCGAAGATGACAAAGTCACAGCCCTGTAGGGGGGTTCCCTGGTGTCAGCTGGAGAGGCAGGAAGGCTCTTTGCCAGAGGCCTCCTGCCCCTCCCACTGAAGCCACATGTGGTCAGAGCTCAAGGGAGCCTGTGCATCCCCAGGGGAGGGTGGCAGCTGAGTCCCTCTGTGGCCCTTTCTGAACTGGGATGGAAAACTGAAGTCTGTGTGGACAGATGACTGTAAGGACACACTGGCTGCTGCTCAGGGCTGTTGGCCTCACACTGGACGGGGCCCCCTCCCTCTGGGGGTGCTTGGGAGCTTGTCTCCCCTCCCCGTTCTGTGCAGGGGAGGTGAGGCTCTGGGGGTTCCTCCTGGAGCCCAGCACCCCTCCTCACCTGCTCTGGTTCCCCGAGGACACCCGGCACCTGGCCTGGCTGTGACTGTGGGCTCCCGGGGTCGGGGGCTGCAGCACAATCCGCAGGGAGAGGCCCTCAGCTCCCCCAGAATTCCAGGGACTGTGGGGGGCAGGGGTGGCGGCAGCCGAGCCTGGCAGGAGGAGCCCGCACCAGCGTTGAGCTGAGACATTCATTCTTTGGCTCCCCCGTCCCCCAGCTTTGCTCAGGAAGCCCGCCACAGCCAGGCGGACTGCTCTGAGGACGGGACCCAGGGGGGGCGGTGGCGGCTGGAGCAAGTGCCCAGAAGCAGAGCACACACTTTGCCAGTGGAAGTCCTCTCCCAGGGAGGCACGGCTGGTGTGAAGGCTGCAGCCTGGAGAGGACTGGGGTGCTTGTGAGCCAGAATGGGGCATCGTGAGCCGGAGCAGGAACAGGCTGAGTCCAAGCAGGGCCCGGAGGAGGGAAGCAGCAGGCAGGCTGTACGGGAGCTGGTTCCTTTCCGAGAGCAGTAGGGAGCCGTTGAGGAGTCAGAGACAGCATCTGGGTGGGCCTTTACAGAGCCCAGGAGTGGTAGGGAGCAGCAGTGTGGCACTGGGCCCGGGCCTCACCCCTGCCTCCCCACCCTCAGTTCCGTCAGCACCATCCGGAACCAGCGCTGCCACATCCACGCCAACCTGTCCTTCGCCATCCTAGTGGCCCAGATCCTGCTGCTGGTCAGCTTCAGCTTCAAGCCTGGCACAGTGAGTAGGCCCTCTCTGTCCCTCTCCTTCCTCCCTCTGAGGTCACCGGGGCTGGCACCCTCTGCTAGTTTCTTCAACTCAGAATTCAGGCCACATGCCCCAGATAGTCGGGCAGGGGCTTGTCCAGGAGAGGCACAGAAGAAAGCCTGTCTGAGCTGGGTTCTCTGCCCACCGTCCGCTCAGTAGCAGAGGCGCTGGCTCTCCTGCTCTGTGTCAGCTCACCGTCCAGCCCTGGTTGGGTGCCCGGCATGGCGCGGAGAGCTGACACAGAGCGGCCCTCGGGTCCTGGAGACAGACCCTCCGGGGCGGTGCCCTAGCCTCTTGCTTCTAGATGTGGGAGTGGGTGACGACTCTGGTAAGGGTCGGCCCCCTGCAGTCTTGCCTTTCACTGCTGCACTGACCACAAACCCCCGGCCACCTCTGCTTGCTGCTGGCAAGAGGAATGTGAAGACCCAGGCCCACCTTTTCCCTGCCCTTTGTACTAGGGATCTAGGAAGTCTTAGAACCCCAGAAGGTTAAGAGCTAAAACAAATGATCCAGGCTTGGGGTGGGAAGGAGAAGCAGACTCCTGCTTGCTCCCACCGGGAGAGAAGGAGAAGCGGGTTCTGGGGAACAGAGCAGTACAGGTCGGTAGTTTTAAAACTCACACAGGATCGGCTCACGCAGAGTGAGCGCTTTATCCTACAATAGTGAGGGTCAGCAGAACTTCCTGTCCTCTCTGCCGCAGGGTCCTCAGCCCCCACCTGCCTGTCCTGGGGCTGCTGCCGAAGGAGAGATCCACCCTCCTGGGCTGCAGGATCCTCCCTCGCAGGTTTAGGGGCGCGGAGGGGCATGGTCCCCAGGCATGCGCCAGCCTCATGCTCTGGATGCGTCAGCCCTCCCGGTTTTCTTACAACACAGATTTGGGTTTGTAGCTCTGGGCGGGGCCTGGAATTCCGAATTTCCATCAGGCATTCCGGTGATGCGGCTGCTGTCTATACAGGTTTCCTCGCCCCCGCCCCCAGCCCCGGGAGGGATGAGGCCCCACCTCGGGAAGGCCGTGGGAGGGGAAGCAGGTCTGCAGAGGCTCCGGGCTCCCATCACCCTGGCGGGGACCTCGGGGCCCCGCGTGTCTGAAGCCCGGGGCAGGGCTCCGAGCACTCCTGCTCGAGGAAGGTGCCTGTGGGATGAGCCCCGCGGAGGACGGAGAGTGACCTTGGGGTCCAGTCCCAGAGCGGCTGGTGGGCGGGGACACCCCTGGGAAGGGGCCGCAGCGAGGAGCGCTGCGCATGTGACACCTGCCTCTGATGTGCACGTGGGCAGATTAGGGACCTCCAGCCACGCTTAGGAAACGAGGTGCCGGGGACCCGATGCTGTCCCGAGAATGAGCTGATATCTCGGGGAGTCTGGGACAGCAGAGCGTGGGGTGCCCGACAAAAATCGCGCAGTCCCTGGGCTTCTGTCTTTAATTCTTTTATTTTTCCCTCCTTTCTATTATTTTAAGTTTTGAAGGTGGTATTTAAACGTATTATTATTTTTCCTCCCTCCCATCATTCCGCCCCCTTCCCGACCCCATGTGGACATGGGTACCGGGCCGCCAGACGGGGCGCGCAGGGGACCTGCTCGCAGCTGCCGGGCCCACGTGTCCGCAAAGCGCCAGGCTCCCGGGCTCGCTCCCTGACGGCTCCGCCCATTCCCCAGAGCCCACCCCATTGGGCTGGTCTGCTCACGTGCCCAGCCCGAGCCAATCCTGCTTCAGAGGACCTGAGCCTTTATGCTGATTGGCCGGGCCTGATTCCCTGCGCTCTCCTGAACCAATCACTGTGCCGGAACAGCCGGGACTAGAAAGGGAGCCAGGGCCCCGCCCCTCCCCTCAGCGGGAGGGGGGGATGAGGGCACGTGACCAGAGATGCCGGGAACCGCCCACTGCTCACACCCAGAGAGATGTCCCCTCTGTGTCTTTGATCCTAGGTCCCCTGCCGGGTGATGGCCATGCTCCTGCACTACTTCTTCCTGAGCGCCTTTGCGTGGATGCTGGTGGAAGGGTTGCATCTCTACAGCATGGTGATCAAGGTCTTCGGCTCAGAGAACAGCAAGCACCGCTACTACTACGGGATAGGATGGGGTAGGTGGGGATGGGAGGGGCAGGTGGGGATGGGATGGGCAGGTGGGGATGGGATGGCAGGTGGGGATGGGGGG